ACAACAACCTACACTTGTGGTCGGACAAGAGAGTTGCACACAGCACAAAGGTGATTGATTCCGAAGTTAGGGGTCAAATTTCATCACAGACTTATGAGATTTGACAGCTTCCTTCAGAATCAATCAACTTTGTGCTGTGTGCAACTCTCTTGTCCGACCACAGGTGCAGGTTGTTGTTGCCTTCCGTTGTTCTCTTTCTCTTGATCAACGCTTTCCCGAGCCAACTCACGCAGATCCCACGCACACACGATCATCCGATCGCCTGCACACGGAACAGAAGGGCACGTGCCTCGACATCAAGCCCAAATCTTGCATGACGTCACGTCACACCATCTGACGACGCCAAATGACTATGGTCAACCACGATCACATGTTTACCTCCAAATTGCATTACAGTATTTTTTACTTCTGCTGAGAGAGAATAACATAATCTAACCGAAGAAACCAAGGATACAGAGGGTGAAGACGCGTACGGAATGTTGAAAGAAGGAATGGGGTTCAACGAGCGCCTACATGGACCGATGGATGCGGGAATAAAGCTGAAGGTCAAATTTAGGACCTGCAACATTGGCCAACATAGGCCGTAGACGAAGATTCGGAAGGTAGACGATGAAGACGACAAGTTCAAATGTGAATGCGGCTCCGAGTGCGAAGACCGGGTTCATGTAGTTGCGGAATGTCCGTTGTACAAGGAGAGGGAAGTGTACATGACTGAGCTGGGAAAAGTAGAAGTGAGATACAGGGACATGCTTGAGGCATTTAATAGCGAGAAGACGGTAGCTGTACTGGGACATTGGAAGTGGGTTCAAAAGGCTGGAAGTGGTATCGATAGGATAGGCAGACTAGGGAAGACATATTTTTTGGCAAAGTAGGAAGGAAGGATTGGCCATCGGGGATCGGTCCCGTGGGAACAATGCTCCGTCCGTTCGAGGACGCATGGTCAATGGTCTAACCGCTTTGGCACGCAAAATATGAGAGTACCCCCTCCACCCCCCCACCCCCCAACACCTCTCGGCCCTTCGCGCTCGGTGGTGTGAGAGCCTGGCCCTTTGTGAACCCGGCGTGCTCCGTCCCGGCTTTGTAGGGATGCGAGGTCAATGGTCTAACGACTGTGGCATGCACGACTATGAATACCCCCTCCCCCCCGCCCTCGCGCGCGTTCCCTCATCCTATCATTTGTATATGAGTACTTCTACTAAACAACAATGCGCTCCCCCTCTCCATGCCCGTGCGTGCTGCTTCACACAGCTTCACCCTGACCCCGGTCATCTGGAACTTCATCGCTCCGGGGCTTAGCGCCGGACGGGTGCAGAGCGTGGCGCTGGCGATGGTGGTCGAGCGCGAGCGCGCTCGCCTCAAGTTCAAGTCCGCGGACTACTGGGACGTGGTCGCCAACGTTAGCGCGGCGGGGGAGCCTGGTAAGCCCCCCACCCCCCGCACTACAGTAGAGTCTGAGATCTCGAATAATGAGGGTGACAGAATGACTAGCTGGGACAGGCTGAGGTTTG